TCACTCGCGGAATCTCATAAAATGATTTTCGCGCTCAATCGAACGAAAATTAATCGAACATAACCAGTATTTATTTCTTAATAAAGCGCCGGAAAACGCTCCGACGGCGGGAGACTGGTACGAGAAAACTCTGCTGTCTGCGCTGAACCGCGGAGCGAAAATCGCAGGAAACGACACCCGACTGGTGACCCACCTGCGACAACGCATCCTCCGCCGCTCCAACCCACACGGCCACCCCTATCCCTTCGACAGCGGACCCAAGGGGGAACATTTTACCCAGTCTGAAGAGGAGTCCCAGTTGCTCCAGGATTTGTTTTCTAACATAGTAAGTGCGCAAAGTACTCGGCGAGAAAAGACTTCGTCTGATTCATACAAATTGTTAATTACTGGGACGCTTCATAGAATGACATCAAACTCGAAATCAATTTTTTGCTATTTTAGAGATGTAACGTGCTATTGCATTATTTATTATTAAATTTTTAAAATACGTTAATATCTTCTGGAAAATATTGCCGGTGAATCTCTGCACCAGTATGTCTTGTTTCTATCTTTTGAGACCCAAATCGATTTCTCTTTTCTTGTTTGTACAATTTGGTCCTGGCATCTGATTTCTAAGTTGGTAAGTACCTCTCAAGAGCTCTTTGGCCGTTAGAAACCGCTTACGGAACTACATGGATATCAATTCCTAAGTGACGCTAAACGCGGATTAACAAGGGGAAGCGTGTCTGTCCCCCTAAAACATCGAAGCAGGGGCATACAACGGATTCGTCTATTCGAATACTCTCTGGCTGGAACTCGAAAGAAATTGGACCGGGCTGCTGATAGAACCGACGAAATCGGCCTACAATTCGCTCGAGAGCCTGCAGAGGAAGGCATGGATCGCTCATTCGTGCCTCAGCGACGCACCGCATCCAAAGAAGGTCTGTCCTTTATCAAATTCCCCAGAGCAGTCGTGGAAGTCGTGTTCATGCCAATCGGTAATGCCAGGTGGTCGTGGAAGATCGATCGATGTGGACCGACTTGAGGCGAAACACGAATAAGGTGACGGGCGAGGATTTGATCTGCTACCCGTTGGAGACATTCTTGATCGCACTGGACGTGAAAACCGTGGATTTTTTCAGCCTGGATGTGGAGGGCATGGATTACGGAGTTCTCGCCACCATTCCTTTCCACATATTTCGATTCGAGGTGAGTAGCTGCGATTGGAATGTAGCAAAAAGATATGCCCTGTGGCTTCGAACATCCATTAAATACTTCAATCTTTAATTCTCAGACGCATGCGGTTCATTGATATTTCGTGAGTTCATGTCCGAGACGATCGTGGTCTGGTGACAGCTTAAGAAGAACTAACAGAAATAATATGTTAGAATAAATGTGGTGTACAATAGTTTGTATGCACGCATCATAACCACCGCCACAATGTGCAGGAGTAGAAAACGATGTGTACATAATGCCACTAAGGGGTGGGGATCTCATGTGAATGACATGTTACACTGAAACGGAGCACAGACGAGAAAGTGACATGGCGTGGCACTTCGTGTTAGTCTGTTCACATTTCTGTGCGGCCTGCCGTTTATCATGGAATCCACAGAAGGTGCGTCGTGCAGGCATTGCTTTCTCCTCTCTGCGCACAGTTCATAACGGTGAATCTAGCGTGGTCAAGTAAAACTCACGATCTCTGAGATTCTTCCGGCGAATCGTTCATGTCGTTTACCCGTGTCGTCCTCACTCCGCGATCTCACAGATCAATTTTGGAAGACCCTTTATCCCATCTCCCAAAGGAACTTGTATCCCAAGCTTCCGATCAATTCACAAAAATTCGTTCGTTTCCGCGATCTACGAGGTCAAAATTATTTGAAGGCAATTTCGCTAGATTTGTTTTTTTACTAGATCTTTATTTTCGCTAGGACAACCAGGTTGACCATGTCTGCCGCCTATTGAAATAAGCTGCAGCTTCTATATACCATCTCTCTTCTATTCTACCTCAGGAAGACTAAAATAATATATACTCCGCTCTTGCCTTCCTCCGCTTGAACTATGGAGTTCTTGCCCGGGGTCATTGCTCTGTGCAACATGTCTGTCGTACCTTGTCCCTCCGGAAACGTATTGCCTGAACCATCCTCTACAAGTCAATGCGTACCATATGTCGCCCTCTCTTCTTTAAACTCAAGTTCTTTACCATCCACATCAAAGTTTTCTTTCACACAAGTGTCTATTTCCATGCTATTGTCTCTAAGAACAAAGCCATCTCAAATGCAGGCGTGCATTCCTACGACACGCGAAGTAAAAACTACTACCAACGTTCAATTGACTCATCCGCTCCAGCAAACAGACTAATCTTCTCTTTGGGCCCACAATACTTCAATTCTATCCTCAGGTCAATTCGGCAACACAGTCATTCAGCCTTCTGGAAACAGTAGGAGGAACTCTTTCTCTACTCATTCTCAGAATTCTTCGATATTACCTGGTAATTTCCCCTCCTGCCCCACATCAGGTTTACCACTGTCCTCTTATTCGAGTATACTCTTAGGTGAAGATGTAGTCGCATCCCCACTATTTTTTTTTTCATTCTTCTTGTCTCACACTCCTCATTATATCATTTTCTTATCCTTCACCCCTTTTGATTTGATACTTGTGTTCATGCGTACAGCTTCGGTGTGTCCTATTCAGTTCTGTATGTTCTGAGTGTTCCGTCCAGTTCTATGTATTTGGTGACTTATTTTATTGTATTTATTTATTATTATTGTTTATTTATTTATTTATTTTTTGCCTTACCCTTTTGCCTCTTTATGAGAGTATGTACATTTTTAGTTTTAAATATCAGGACGAACTCAACGGGCAAAATGGTCTTGCAAGAGCGATGGAATAAATATTATTATTATTATGTTGCATTTATGTTCGATGAGAAATTTGTGCAGGCATTTCACTGCGCTGCGAAAGCGATTCGTGGAGATTCCGTGAAATCTTGGAAAGGATGAACCAGACAGATTACCTTTTCTTTCCTCGTTTCCATGCAATAACAATCATTCTAGACTCAAACGTGAACTTAAAAATCTCAAATAAGAAAAAAAGTATGATAAAAGTATAAGTTAAATTTCTTATGACCTAAAATATTTTTATTGGATAAAATTCCAAAGAATATGGATCGAGCTACTAGTTTCTGATGTGATAGGAAGGAAAACCATTTCCAAGGCTTCTACCTTCACCGGAATTTTGTCCTTTATGAAAGAAATAAATCACAATGACATCGTCAACACAGACCAACTTAATCATGCGCTCCGCCCTTTCCCTTCAAAGTTCAAGGTCTGGGTGAAGGTTTTATGAGGAATATCTGTCTATATCGGCACCACGAGTCGAACTTAAACGCCAGGATACTTTCACCTTTCGGCCCCTTTCATATCCAGTCTCTATGACCCATTCATATACCATTCACGTTATTCCCAAAATTATTCTCAGTTTCCTAAGAATTTGAAAAGCACTGAACTTCGACCATTCACTCCCACCATGAAGGACGCCTAGCAAGAGTAGAAACTTAAGAAATTATTTTCCACACTTTACAATGTTTCGATGACGTGAAAGAGGCTTTGAAATCCCCCTGCAGGTGCTCATGGTGGAGACGGACAAAGGTAACAGAGAGGAAATTCTGGCGCTGATGGCCTCGAAGAATTACACTCACTTCATGACAACCGGACCCGAAGACGTATTTGTGCCCAATGACGCGAAGAGCATCAAGTTACGAAATGAGACTGATCAATGACGAGTTTCCCTTTCGATCTGGGAGAATTAGCATCAGCGCAATTACTTTAAAATATTTCGCAGTTGTATCTAGATTAAACTGTCGGTCAAAGTATAACTGAGACATCTGGTGGCTAGTTATCAACTCCTTCGTGAGGCGTGCTACGTGACAGCGGAATCGGGGAACGACTCATATGGGGACTGTACCCAAAGAGATTCTCGAAGGTAATACGCGTGTCTCGTGGATTCCGCTGCTAATATATTACGAGCGCACACAGTTGTAAATACAAGTGGGATCCTAATTCTTCGAGAAACATAAACTTGTAATTTACAAGACTAATACTTGTAACTTGTACTACTTGTATGCTTCGAGAAACAGGCCCCAGGTGGCTAGTTATCAACTCCTTCGTGAGGCGTGCTACGTGACAGCGGAATCGGGGAACGACTCATTTGGGGACTGGACCCAAAGAGATTCTCGAAGGTAATACGCGTGTCTCGTGGATTCCGCTGCTTGGATAAGGAGCAGTCTTGATACGGACACGCAAGGTCCTCCTAACTGTCGCTGTAGATGTAACGCTGGGACAATTACTTACCCTAAGCTAGGCTCACAGCGTATCTCAATATTTGACATCAGATAGTATCCTTTATGGACGCATTCCATGAGACCATTCCCCCCAGTGCTTCCAAAATTTTTCCTCAGCCTGCAGGGACGAACAACAGGAAAACATCGGAGTCCCAGGGACACGCGGGAAAGTTCTAGATTTTCTGACTGTTTTTCAGACCAGTTGGCAGTTGCCTCTTAGAACCGTGCCTAAATAAACCCGTGCGCAACCTTATTAGTGACAGGAAAAGGGGGGGTGGGGGGAGGCGCAGTCATTGCCGAGGAAGGTGCGCGACGTGAAAGTGATGAGAGCGGCGCAAGATGCATCGTGTTCACGCGTTCATGACGCATTTCCGTTCGTTTCAATTTAGACTTCAGGGCGGTTTGGGCCAACACCCTTCTCGTTCAGTCACAAGCGGAAAATGTACGATGCTAGTTTATTCGAGTCACACGTTGGCATGCGTTCAGATGTTCCTGAACATGGGCCTAGTGGCACATAAAGAAAGGTATCAACAGCGTGGGTATAAATTCTAAACGAAGGTGATGTCATCGTTCCACTTAAAGTGCACAGAGAAGGGAAGATTGCCGTAGGCTTTGACCTAGTCAAACCAAAGGGGAAAAGAGATGGACGTGGGCAATTATGAAAATGGGCAGCTTGTGAACCATGTATCACAACGAAGGAAGAAAGATTTTAAAAATGGAAAAAGGCATGGGTCAACATTTATTCCTGGCTTTCCTATAGAGATGGAAGAGCTTCCTTTGACTTCTGCTCAAATGCAAATAAGAAAAATCACTACTCATCATCTGGCAGTCGTAATATGCAGAAGTTTGTAATTTGCAAATTTGAAGATCCTTTAGGGATATTTATCAAAGAGAAATTGTTGGAAGTAGTCCTAAGGCTGCTGGATTGAATATCATGCTTTTGGTCATGTTAAATCAGAGAAAAAACATCGACTGCGGGATTTGAAACTTTTTGTGCAACTTTGCAAGATTTCATCACGCTTCAATTGCGGTGGGACCCCCAAATTTTTCTGAGTGACCCTTTCTTATAAGGTCCTGAGGACCCTTAAGGCAAGAAAATTAGCGCAAGCCCTGGTTACGATAGGTGCCTTCGCCACCGATTCACTTTAGAAAATTTCACAATTCGGTGAAGACGTTCTCCTGAGGTTAGGTCCAGGAGCGATATTTTGTAATCAGAGAAAAAACATCGACTGCGGGATTTGAAACTTTTTGTGCAACTTTGCAAGATTTCATCACGCTTCAATTGCGGTGGGACCCCCAAATTTTTCTGAGTGACCCTTTCTTATAAGGTCCTGAGGCAAGGGCAAGGCCTGAGGGGAATTCCGTTCTTTTAATCGCGTTCGGGACCAATGCTATCCACGGAAGCGGTGGCTAAGTGAAATCTTTTAAAGTGTTAAGCCACTTCTGCAAGAGGACTCCAATCCAGGTCCTCGCTATAAAACATTGAATTTTTCGATGACGTCAACGTCCATAAACTGTCATCCGGGAAGGCTTTCCTTCCTGGTCAAAGAGGGCAACATCCTGACTTCTGCAATCTGGTGGCACGGTGCGAGAAATCCGTGGAGCTCGTTGGTGGCTGCATCGAGTAGGTATCATTCTTGAGAACATTTCCTGAAATTTTCACGATATTCGGTTGCAAGATAAATGAATCTAAATGATTTCTGAATCAACATCTAAGAGCTTTCGAGTATCACACGTATTGTGAAAAACTACACGTTTTTCAATTTTTCTAAATTTAACGCCACTCAGGGGCCGAGTCTTAGCAGAATGTGCGTGAAGGGAAAGATAACGCGATACAGATAAGGTCTATCTATTGCAAAAACGTTAAGAACTCTAGCAGGTATGCTTAGTTGCAACAGAAGAGGTTGTACTCACAAGATGGCTTGATGGTAACCTTTAGGAGGGTAATAAGGACCTAGCCTGAGGCAAAGACGAAAGGGCACAAAAGCACCATTGTCCATTTTCTGCAACTTCGAAATCTCTTGTGAATGATTTCTCTCGCGAGCGAAGCTTCGCTTGCGTTCAGGCATATCATTTTTTCCCATTATTTCAGCCAGGCGAAGGATCTTCTATTACGGGTGAAATTGTGACGAGTTCTTAAATATTTGTTGTACTGGTCCTGGGAAAGTAATGGCAATAACATCATGATATAACACTAACATTAAAGAAACATTCTGAAGCAGAATTACCATTAGGAAATATGAACATTTGCTATTTCAATGGAGAAGTCACAGTCGTGAAAACTTGTTCTAGTGGAAGCAAAATATTATTAGTTTATTTGTAAAAGCTCATTGTTTAAACTTAATTTTCTATTCCAGTAATGAAGCCCGTGCCTAATATTATATTTTATTCATTTTCACTTATTTATTTATTAATATATACTTATTTACATTTATTTATTTGCATTTATATTTTGCCCCTGAAACGTCTCGATTACGGTTTCGCAACTCTTCACTTTCGCGAAAAAAGCCGATGAGATTGGCCGCAGACATTGAGGATGCTCCGGCACCCGTTGTGAGACCCTCCTCCATGCGAATTTTTTTGCACTCCGTCAGTTTCACGCGAAATGACCACATACGCGAGAGCAACTAAAAATGAATTCGTGGGAATACAAGGGACCCGATCGCGCGAAAAGCTCTCTAATCCCGGAACTCGAGAGCTTCGAATGATTCCTGCCTGCTCTCACGTCTCCGTCTGCTGCAGGTGAGTGAATTGAGTTGGGCAAGTGATTTGAGTGGGGCTAGTGTCTCTGATTCCACAGAATATTTCCGGAATGAATGCGGGATTACATCTATCAGGTGACTGAGATGACAGAGGATAGGCAAAGAATGGACCTGGGTAGTTCTGAAGCTTGTTAATACAAGGGTAGAAAAAAAGGCAGTCTGAAATTGCAAGTACCTGTATAAGCCTGAAAATCTTATTTCCATGGCTTGCTCAGAAATTTTCTTCTATCTGTAATAAAAAGGGCGGAAATAAATCAATTGTCATGTAAATGAGTTTCATGAGTTCATGCTTCATGGATGACGTGCGAATGATGCGTCCATTGTACCGCGGCGAAGAAAAATTAGGGGCGAAGAAAAAACAACTTTTCTGCTTGATGATCAAGCAGAAAATCACTTTGTAGAATGAATGTTTCGCAGCGTAAATGCTAATACTTGGACACCATTTTAGGGAATGCATGCCTCGCATTACTAATTCTCATACAGACGGCCTCGAGACATCGCATTTGGCAGAGTGCGAGAGACTGGTGTATTGCGCTTCTCGTTTCAAAAACCATCAACAACAACAATCAACAATAAAAAAAGAATTGCGTAAAAGATTTTTTTAAATGTCATGATAGGTGCAACCCTATTCACTTTAAGAAAATTCCACAAAACAGTGAAGTCGTTCTCCAGAAAAGGAACGGCACAAAACCCAGCTTCTAATTTCCGTAATGAATGAACCGTTCAGATGGTCGTTTTCCGAAATCCAATCCATCCGAGGATGTGATCACAGATCGTTTCCAATTAATAAAACGGCAACATTCCATTTTTTTTCCTCTCTCGTTCGCATTGAATACATGGCTTTGAATTACGATAAAACGTAGATGCAACAAGTCCGATTAATGTTAGAACGAACGCCACACGCTGGGCCCAGCCCCATCTACGGTACACTCAACCANAAAATCCCCCTGTCTGTGCGAAGGGGAACAATTAGGCGCAAATCGCAGTGAATCCTTAACTATAGGTACATCAAGGCATTCGCCAAAGATTGCCGGTTTCTCGAGAACTCTCCATGAATGGTTGAATCAAATCAGATGCCAGGACCAAATTGTACAAACAAGAAAAGAGAAATCGATTTGGGTCTCTAAAGATAGAAACAAAACATACCTCGTACTGGTGCAGAGATTCACCGGCAATATTTTCCAGAACATATTAACGTATTTTAAAAATTTAATAATAAATAATGCAATAGCACGTTACATCTCTAAAATAGCAAAAAATTGCTTTCGAGTTTGATGTCATTCTATGAAGCGTCCCAGTAATTAACAATTTTTATGAATCAGACGAAGTCTTTTCTCGCCGAGTACTTTGCGCACTTACTATGTTAGAAAACAAATCCTGGAGCAACTGGGACTCCTCTTCAGACTGGGTAAAATGTTCCCCCTTGGGTCCGCTGTCGAAGGGATAGGGGTGGCCGTGTGGGTTGGAGCGGCGGAGGATGCGTTGTCGCAGGTGGGTCACCAGTCGGGTGTCGTTTCCTGCGATTTTCGCTCCGCGGTTCAGCGCAGACAGCAGAGTTTTCTCGTACCAGTCTCCCGCCGTCGGAGCGTTTTCCGGCGCTTTATTAAGAAATAAATACTGGTTATGTTCGATTAATTTTCGTTCGATTGAGCGCGAAAATCATTTTATGAGATTCCGCGAGTGAGACTCGACTGAGGTAAAAAGAATGGAGTAATGTGGCGACTTAAAAACAGGATCCAGAGTAAGCCACGATGCCAACCAAAGAGAGTTCAATCAAGGTTTTCTCAATTATCATGCGGATGAAGGAAATGAATATTTCCTTTCTAATGAAATCTTGTTCATATATATAATTTCCTTGTGTCGAGACGAGGGATACCTCGTAAGTGCTCCCACAAATTATTGGTATTTCATTTAGCATCAGCTGTTAAAATAAACGCAAGAATCGGAAGTTCGCCTCTTACCTCCTCGAATCCCGAAGTCTCACCTCAATTACCTCAAAGCCCACCGGAATGGGGTCTCTCCCAGCTATAATACATTTGAGAACGGCCACTCACCCGCAGAAGAAACTCTCGCTGCCCTCGCCATTACATCGAAGCGAAGCAAACTTCCTCTTCGGGCTCGTCGCACCTCGTGGAGGGAGAGCATGGTAATGGTCAGTGCCAGTCCTACAAGGACGAGGACGAGGGCCTTCCTCCTCATGGCGAACCTGTCGACGAAAACTTTCGTCTCTTTATGAATTGCTGCGTTATTATGATACGGCTCAGTGTCATGGCTGGGTCGGGGGAAGCTTGGTAGAATACCGATTCACCGATAGATCCGTTTCACAAAATTGAGGGGAATCCCGGCGTTACCCGGGGGGGGGGGGGGGGGGGGGTTAGACCATTTTTTAGAATTGTCGGGGAAAAAAACCGTCGCAGGCGGGGGGGCGGGGGGGGGGGGGGGGGGGGGGGGGGGGAACGGACTCGTTTCGCAGAATATCGTTTCCCAGGCGGAGCATTTCGACACTGGCCGAGCTGCAGGTCCTCATGAGCATCTGACGAATTGGAGACATAACATTTGGTTGAGTGTACCGTAGATGGGGCTGGGCCCAGCGTGTGGCGTTCGTCCTAACATTAATCGGACTTGTTGCATCTACGTTTTATCGTAATTCAAAGCCATGTATTCAATGCGAACGAGAGAGGAAAAAAAATGGAATGTTGGCGTTTTATTAATTGGAAACGATCTGTGATCACATCCTCGGATGGATTGGATTTCGGAAAACGACCATCTGAACGGTTCATTCATTACGGAAATTAGAAGCTGGGTTTTGTGCCGTTCCTTTTCTGGAGAACGACTTCACTGTTTTGTGGAATTTTCTTAAAGTGAATAGGGTTGCGGTGGCACCTATCATGACATTTAAAAAAATCTTTTGCGCAATTCTTTTTTTATTGTTGATTGTTGTTGTTGATGGTTTTTGAAACGAGAAGCGCAATACACCAGTCTCTCGCACTCTGCCAAATGCGATGTCTCGAGGCCGTCTGTATGAGAATTAGTAATGCGAGGCATGCATTCCCTAAAATGGTGTCCAAGTATTAGCATTCACGCTGCGAAACATTCATTCTACAAAGTGATTTTCTGCTTGATCAAGCAGAAAAATTGTTTTTTTCTTCGCCCCTATTTTTTTTTCGCCGCGGTAAAATGGACGCGTCATTCGCACGTCATCGACCTCATTCTAAGTAGCCAATTGGAATAACCAAAGCATGAAGCATGAACTCATGAAACTCATTTACATGACAATTGATTTATTTCCGCCCTTTTTATCACAGATAGAAGAAAATTTCTGAGCAAGCCATGGAAATAAGATTTTCAGGCTTATACTTGCAATTTCAGACTGCCTTTTTTTCTACCCTTGTATTAACAAGCTTCAGAACTATCCAGGTCCATCCTTCGTCTATCCTCTTTCATCTCAGTCACCCGATAGATGTAATCCCGCATTCATTCCGGAAATATTCTGTGGAATCAATTCGCTCGCCCAACTCAATTCACTAGCCCCACTCAAGTCACTTGCCCAACTCAATTCACTCACCTGCAGCAGACGGAGACGTGAGAGCAGGCAGGAATCATTCGAAGCTCTCGAGTTCCGGGATTAGAGAGCTTTTCGCGCGATCGGGTCCCTTGTATTCCTACGAATTCATTTTTAGTTGCTCTCGCGTTGGTGGTCTTATTTCTATCCCATTGCGCATTTCGCGTGAAACTGACGGAGTGCAAAAAAATTCGCATGGAGGAGGGTCTCACAACGGGTGCCGGAGCATCCTCAATGTCTGCGGCCGATCTCATCGGCTTTTTTTTCGCGAAAGTGAAGAGTTGCGAAACCGTAATCGAGACGTTTTAGGGGCAAAATATAAATGCAAATAAATAAATGTAAATAAGTATATATTAATAAATAAATAAGTGAAAATGAATAAAATATAATATTAGGCACGGGCTTCATTACTGGAATAGAAAATTAAGTTTAAACAATGAGCTTTTACAAATAAACTAATAATTTTTTGCTTCCATTAGAACAAGTTTTCACGACTGTGACTTTTCCATTGAAATAGCAAATGTTCATATTTCCTAATGGTAATACTGCTTCAGAATGTTTCTTTAATGTTAGTGTTATATCATGATGTTATTGCCATTACTTTCCCAGGACCAGTATAACAAATATTTAAGAACTCGTCACAATTTCACCCGTAAAAGAAGATCCTTCGCCTGGCTGAAATAATGGGAAAAAATGATATGCCTGAACGCAAGCGGAGCTTCGCTCGCGAGAGAAATCATTCACAAGAGATTTCGAAGTTGCAGAAAATGGACACTGCAGTCACGAAAACACGGGAAAGCAGAAACGGAGTCCGATCCAGGAATAATGGGAGGATTTCCAATGGTAGTTCGGTAGAACACTCATGTTGGAGAAGACAACGTTGATTCGTATGGACGATCTCAAGAATT